ATGTCCTCAGGCCGGACTCAAGCACAAAGACATTATGCTGAGACAGAATGAATCTCTCGTTGACCCTGCTTTTACAGTATTTTTGCAGTATCCAAGTGCTGAATATATGCAAACATTCAGTGCTATTCAGTATTCAGCACAATACTATTCTTGCAGTACATACAGTAGGCCTATACAAAATATTCACCTTAATTGCAATTACTAACTTTTTTACAGAATTGCAAAATTTATTCAATACAATATACTTTTTCTGTAATGTTCTGGATGTTGTGTTCTCCATTTTTCTCTGGAGTGTCTAATGAATGCTCTGTAGTGTTTTCCACCAGCCCAGTAAGGATAGCAAGTAAAGATTATTTTCCAATTGATTTTAAATTTTGCTAGAGTTTTGCCGCCATCTAGTGTTTTGTACAATATTTGGAGAAAAAAAAAGGAATCTGAAAGATACTTCCAAATGCTGTAACAAGGTTTTGTTAGTTTGTTTGCATTTGCTATTATTATTAGTCTATTATTATCATAAAGATGTAACAAGTTATGATCACTTTACTGTTACTGCTATTTTAAATGACAACAACATCAACATAAAAAATAATTTTGAAGATAAACAGCTGCATGTCTTTTTCATTCAAACTTAATTAAGTAGCATTTTCAACACAAAAATAGGCTATCATGAATTTAAATCCCAGAAATAGACTATAGTAAGGCTTAGAAGCTCTAACGTGTGTCAGGGGCGTTTCCTCCGAGGAGGCAAGGGAGGCAGTGTATCCTCACAATATTGGATGAGAAAAAAAATAGTAGTAGAAAAATAAAACAACGCCAATATTACTAAAATATCAAATGAAAAAGTGTAATAACTCATTTTTCAAAAGAAACATTGTGCCACAGCGACACCAGCAGGTAAAGTTACAGCGGGAGTCCGTGTCTCTCTCGCCTCCCCTGAGCCCAATGAGTTTTAACCATAGACTGTACAGGTTTTAACAGACCCCCTAAAGCAGTGGTCGCCAACCCGATGATCGCGATTGGTAGATCTTTATCACTGTCCCAGTAGATCCCGAAAAAAACAGAAAAAATAAGTACAAAAATGCATTACATTTATGGGGTTATATTAATGTATCACGGAAGGGAACTGTCTTGAGAAAAGTTTCGATGGCAATGGCATTTTCTTCTCCGTATAAAGCGCAACTCTGTTTTGTTTACAGCGGTAAACAAGGAAACGATATATTGCAGTCGGTTTATAAGCAGTGTTGGCAAACGCGGGTTGTTGTTCATGTCCGTGGGTTGAAGCAACCCAAATAACGTGATATTTAGTCCCTGGAATGTGAATTTTACTGGAATGTGAATTTTACTGGAATGTGAATTTTACTGGAATGTGAATTTTACTGGAAGATCCCTGCCGAAAAACGTGTATTTTACCCCCAGAATGTGATTTTTACAGGGAAACCCCCCTCAAACCAGATTGGACTAGTTGTATTGCGAAAACCTGGCAACCCTGTTCATAGGCGCCACCTGCTGTCAGAGAGTGCGT